GGACCTCATCGAAATCGACGGTCAAACTGCCGTTCAATCGTAGTTATCGCTTGCGATCTTCCGGTGATATCGGTTTGAATAACCCATTTTTATGCAACGTGAATTGAGGACCATTTTGCTGGGCATTTTGTAACGACACTTTGAAAATGAAGCGTATCAATATACTTTTAATAGTAATATAAACAGTAGTCTACGTAAGTATTTACCGTACGTGGCACCACAGGTACTAGTTTAAAGCCCAGGCACCTGCTTTAGCGGTATTCTGCCGCTGTCAAACACAGCTACGAGAGACCGGCTTATCAGTATATCCGTCAGCATTCATCCAGTTTTCAAATTGCAGCTCTTTTATTTCTCGGAAATTAATCTGTCACTTGAAGTACACTCATGAGCGTCTCAGCTGTGCCATGCAGCGGCAGAATATTGGCAATGCACGTTTCTGAGCTTATAGCTACTGCCTGTGCTGTCGGCATTGCAAACAACTATGGAGGTTATACTACCGTCTACTGTGGTAGTAATATAGTACCAGTTCTTTGATGGTAGCTTATCGATCGCTAACGGAACTCTCTCGTCCCCTTGGGGCTCACTTTCGACCCGCGCCAGGAGATGCAAATCGGATAGTGGCAGATAAACACTGCCGGCAAAGGCAAGAGCGAGGCTTAAATGGCCCTTCCTGGCTAATAAGAGTCATGAGCCAGACACACCCGGCCTCAGGTTGTGCACTACACAAGGCTTGAAACAGAAGTCCCACGCTCTAACCCCTGAGCCACGGACTCACTGCGTTACTAGCTGTGATCGAGGAATCTACCCTTCATCGGTGAACGCTCATCAATCGCTAACGGAACTCCGTCGTGTCTTTCTACCTTGAGGCTCACTCTCAAGCCAAGGGTGGTGCACCACCAGGGATTGGGTATGACTGACTGATGACGGCTAATGTGCCAGAAATGGCAATTACAGTCTTCCTTGTCTTTGCCGGCAATGGTGATCTGGTACTAATGTTAATAGAAGTAGTAAAAATCGAATGGGTTTTAATATTGGTAGGAGAAACACCACTTGGCGTTAGGTATGAGTGACTGAAGACGGCTAATGAGGCAGAAATGGCCATTTCAGATGCCCTTATCTTTGCCGACAATGCTTTCTGTCTAGATTACTAACCACTGTGCAGCTGCTTTCAGAGCCCGCGACATGAGGCGCAAGGCAGGTCAGAACGAGACAAGTGAGTTCCGTTAGCAGTCGGTGAATGTTTGTTAACGCGTGCCAATATTTGGTGATCTAAACCAATAAGACAACGAGCTTGTAGCTCAATGGTTAGGGCATTAGACTTCTGACCAAAAGGTTGCGCGTTCAAGCCTCGGGTGGGGCACCACTGAAGGTTTGGTATGATTGGCTGATAACGGCCAATGAACCAGAAATGTCAATTTAAGTCTCACTTGTCTCTGCCGGAAGTGGTATCAGTGGTAGTAATAGTAGTAGTAATATATGTAATAGTAACAGTATTGCTAGTAGCACCAGAAGTATTAGTAGCGGTGTTAACATTTCTATTGAAAGTAGCAGTAACCTCACCTCTAGCCAACAGATTTCCTGACCCAGTCCGGAGTCCGGACTGTTTGACTGAGTGTTATCCACAGGGGTATTCTTCTTGTTGCGATAAAGGGCCGGATAGTCAGCGATGGGGCGCTCATTTGCCAGGAATTTGCCCTTTTTGCTGCCCTGCGCTGGCAGAAAAAGGCCGTAGTTTATGGCCTCGCTGGCAGTGAGACTAGTTCGTAGAGCCGCTCGCGTGCGCAAGTCGCCAACGCTCTCCGTCACCTTCATTGTGAAGATACTCTAGAAGGCAAAAAGCATCGCCGTTAGAGCTCGCAACTTCAGATGGCTTGGAGGTAACAAGGCCGTCGCAGTTATTATCATAACAAGACTAAAGCAGCTTCGAGGGTCGAAGCGTCTCATTGTGGAAGATGCGATCACTGCAACAATAAGGTTATT